GTCATAGTCCAATGAAGAAAGAAAATAGGATTTGATTTGACAATGAATGTCTCTAACAGTTCTTAATTTTGCTGTCTACTATAAAGTCCATGCATGATCTGTGCTGAAAACAAATCTTTTGCAGCTGTGTGCAAGCCAGGTCACTTCAGTAAAGATAGTTCTTACTTGGACAGTGGGCTTGGCCCAAAGTCATTGTGTCAATAGGAATTGTGACAAATAATCCATTGGTACACAGATTTGTTCCCTTATCAGGACCTGCAGTGCACAGAGTCTGGTTGAAAGAAGTGTGCAGTAGTCAGGAAGTGTGTGTTAGTGCATCCCCTATGGCACATGCACATGGACACCTACTACAAAGATATACACTGTTATAATGGGAAGGCATAGGCAATTTATCAATTATCAGTTCAAATGTAAAAAGCACTCCACTCCATACAGAATATTTGGATGAAGTTTCATGGATAGGGAATATTTACCAGCAACATATTTGGTATTGCTTACAAGGAGCTTGGGTTCAGGCTGTGGCAAGATTTATTGTTGGATGTGTAGCACACTGGAGACTATTTGATTCTCACAGAGTTCTCGCATTTACCTACATAATTTTTATCAAATCTGTCTGGTTCCTCCAAATACACACGTTGAATGTATGTTGAAGTACTACAGGATAGTGTAGTTGAAAACAAAAAAATCTGATTGAATGTTCCAGAAAAATGGCTGGTTTCAACAGTTAAAGTAAAGGCTGACCGCTGTCAATGGTTTACCAAACTTTGAACTGCCATAATTGATATGCTCAATGGCTCGTGTATTGAGCTGTTCATACTAAGTTCACCTCATCAACTCCCTACTTGCCTCAATATACATGTAACATCGATGTCTGCATTTGCCTTGTTTGTCTTCCAGATGAAAGAATTAGAAGATAAATTGCTCGCATTGCCTGGCCCCAGCCAGTCAGACATTGTCCAGCTACTAGATGAATACCAAAGTCAGGTATGCTGAATCTTGTTCCAAACACACACACACACACTGATTGTTATGAGGCCGCACAGCACCACCGACTATCCCATTCTTGGGCTAGATTTTGCAATCCTGGCTGGGAACCAAAACTCTTGTAAAGCCTGCTTCACATGTTTGGGTCTGGTATAGTTTTGTACTTGTGGTTATTTAAAACAGCTTAATCCACTTAAAAATGTCTGTAAACAGTTTTTGAATTCAATTATCCTGGTTGAGTGCTGTGTGAGTGAATGGAATGTGCAGTAACTGGTCTTAGGTCTAGTTAGGAAAGAATATTTGAAAGGCTGAATAATTTAGTGGGAGGAAATGATAGGTGGTGAGTGCACAATTGAAGTTGAAATTACTTTTGCGAAGGCTCACTAGGCCAGCAATTTCTATTTGACATTTCTAAAAACAGTCATCAGGTCTTGTAGCCAGATCATATGAATTTGAAAGTTTGGTGTAGTTTTACATATAGAAAAAGTAATTCAAAGACAACAGTGTTAGTCAATTTTGGATTTTTATTACTTTGCCATAACCATCCACTCTCCTGAGAAGGTTTTTATTCTAGGTAATATATGGATATGTATGAAACCTTCCTTTTCAGAGTCAACTAGATGCAGACAAGCCCTTTTCACTGGAGCCACACATAGACAACATCAATAGGCTGTTTGGTGGTGGTTCCTTGGAGGAAATNATTCCAGGCTCTTGAGAGCGATGGCTCAGATTGGGCACTGAAGCAACTGGAGGTAAAAGTCATTCACAGAACGTTAGCCTAGTAGTTACAAACCTCAAATTTCACTCTTTTTTTCACTATCGTTCCCTCCCGGCTGACTTTCCACTTACCCATTCACAAGAACGACTTACCACTTTGTTCATCGTCAGATTAGGCCAAACAAAATAATCGTGCTTCCTATTACATTTACATTGGGAAAACCAATAGGTATGGTAGGTGGGTACTATCTTTTTTTTTCTTCTTAAGTTTTTGGGTCAAAAATTGTAGGGTGGGAAATTTTATATTTAAATTAAAAAGTAATTTTGATATTTTTTTCCACAGATTCAGAACTTGAGGATAGGTCTTGTCAAAGATTGTATCCAAGTCAGAGCCCTTCTGGACAATTATGCATTTGTGTTGCAGTGACATTTTGATGAGTTCTGTCCACAAAATTGTTTGAAAGCTCATACAAACCGATGTACATAGAGCACTTAAAACCCATGCAATGATAAATGACAGTAACTTGGTGTGACCTGCCCTAATTATCATGAGATCCTCTATTGGCGAAAGCAAAAATGTACTAACTTTATTTCAAGCCGTAAATTCCCAGTGAAGTGTGTGCTACCGTGAGTTATAGTGGAGATTGTTTGTCACCACTTCCGCTCACTCAAGAACGGCTGTAATGAGTCCCATAGACACACGTATGAATATTAGATAAGACTTGAAGCTATGCATGGTGGAAGTACTAAATTAGGTTAGGCTTGCGGTTGCACCATGAACCAGTCACCCTCCTGAAGATGAACAAGGCAAACTTTTTGGAACGTCGAGTGTTCACCTTCGCTTCTTCTGAGAACCACACACTCACAAAAGAGATTCTTCCTTGTACATGGTGCAACCGCAAGCCTCATCTAATTTTGTACGAATACTGATGTTTCATTGTCAGCCAATCACAACACAATGACCGGATGGTCCCAGGATGCTGTTGATAGACACAAGGCTTGCGCTTCTAGCCACACAGATACGTATCACTATATGCACGTACTGTACATGTACATGCAGTAGATTCAGTCTCGTGCATTGCATGGACCTCCAGTACTGTCCGGTGTCCCAACAAGGACATTATACAGGATCGCAGATCGCAGTGTATACAACTTAGCTTGATTCTAGGCCCGGACGTCCGTGTGAAAACCGGAGTAAATAAGTTAAAGGAGCTTAGTGAAAATAGAAACATTTTTTCTGTTTATAAATCATACACTTATTCATCATTAATCTCACTCAATCTCCACCATGGCTTCAATTCACACTTCCCCAGCACCTTNCTTCCAGGCTCTTGAGAGCGATGGCTCAGATTGGGCACTGAAGCAACTGGAGGTAAAGGTCATTCACAGAACGTTAGCCTAGTAGTTACAAACCTCAAATTTCACTCTTTTTTTACTATCCCCCACCGGCTGACTTTCCACTTACCCATTCACAAGAACGACTTACCACTTTGTTTATCGTCAGATTAGGCCAAACAAAATAATCGTGCTTCCTATTACATTTACATTGGGAAAACCAATAGGTATGGTAGGTGGGTAGTATCTTTTTTCTCTTCTAAAGTTTTTGGGTCAAAAATTGTAGGGTGGGAAATTTTATTTTTAAATTAAAAGGTAATTTTGATATTTTTTTCCAAAAATTGTTTGAAAGCTCATACAAACCAATGTATATAGAGCACTTAAAACCCATGCAATGATAAATGACAGTAACTTGGTGTGACCTGCCCTAATTATCATGAGATCCTCTATCGGCAAAAGCAAAAATGTACTAACTTTATTTCAAGCCGTAAATTCCCAGTGAAATGTGTGCTACCGTGAGTTATAGTGGAGATTGTTTGTCACCACTTCCGCTCACTCAAGAACGGCTGTAATGAGTCCCACAGACACACGTATGAATATTAGATAAGACTTGAAGCTATGCATGGTGGAAGTACTAAATTAGGTTAGGCTTGCGGTTGCACCATGAACCAGTCACCCTCCTGAAGATGAACAAGGCAAACTGTTTGGAACGTCGAGTGTTCACCTTCGCTTCTTCTGAGAACCACACACTCACAAAAGAGATTCTTCCTTGTACATGGTGCAACCACAAGCCTCATCTAATTTTGTATGAATACTGATGTTTCATTGGCAGCCAATCACAACACAATGACCGGATGGTCCCAGGATGCTGTCGATAGACACAAGGCTTGCGCTTCTAGCCACACAGATACGTATCACTATATGCACGTACTGTACACGTACATGTACATGCACAGTAGATTCAGTCTCGTGCATTGCATGGAGCTCCAGTACTGTCCGGTGTCCCAACAAGGATATTATACAGGATCGCAGTGTATACAACTTAGCTTGATTCTAGGCCGGGACGTCCGTGTGAAAACCGGAGTGAATAAGTTAAAGGAGCTTAGTGAAAATAGAAACATTTTTTCTGTTTATAAATAATTTATTCATACACTTATTAATCATTAATCTCACTCAATCTCCACCATGGCTTTAATTCACACTTACCCAGCACCTG